CTCCTCAGGTCGCGGCGTTGGTGTCCGGGATAAACGGGGCGAAAGGGAAGGAGGGGGAGAAGTGCGCGGCGTTTGCCGTTTTATTGCCGTTTTAACGCTCGCAACGTACGGCCTCGGGAGGCGCGGCCGTGCCCCGGGGTGGGCCTCAGCCGGGCCGGGCCCGGGCGGAGCAACAGCGAGGCGGCACCGCGGGGCCCGACAGGGCAGGAATATCCTCCCGGCCTCGGCAAGACTTGCCAGGGGGATTTCTGTGGTAATAGTGGTGCTTGAGACCCTCGCCTGGAGGCCTGGGGGAGGTCTGCGGGGTTTTATCGTGTTTAGTAGTGCTGAACTCTGCTCTACGCCCGCTGATTACTACAGTTTATTATTACTACGGTTATTAGTTATATTGAGACAGCCATACAATACAGCTCAATTGTTGGGCATTCTTGCCAGTGTTTTCTTTGGGGGAAAAAATGAAAGTTTAGCCTACTTAACAGAATTGAATTTTTAAACAGCACCAGAGAATACGTTTTTCATGTTGTAAGATTGTTTCAGTTTGAAGGGGTTTTTGTATAGCATGTTACATCCTGAACTAAATATCTGTATTTCGTGTTGTATTTAGCGACACAGGATGCTGTTTCCTTTGGTATTGTGTGCAGTTGCGCTGGCAGGGAGCAGTAAAGTTCAAGATGATGAGTGGATTGACCCCACGGATATGCTCAACTACGACGCAGCGTCAGGAACCATGAGGAGACCTTACAAGGTAGGAAAAGAAAGGGTGTGAGAACACGTGTCTCTCCCAAGCAGTCCTTCGGCCACATGCTGTTGAGAGATTGCACTTAAATCATGAAATAAGAAAATAGAATTTTGGTCTTTTTAAGGTCTTACAAGGTTATATCTTATATCTTTCTATACATAGAAAAGCGTTGTGTGTCCATTGCCTCTTTTTTTTTTCTTGCAATTTTAACAATCTACATTATTGTAGATAACTAGCTCAGGGCCTTTTATTGACAAGTTTCGGCTGCACGCTGATCAAGTCACAGGAGCCGTGCTTTTTGTCTTTTCAGTGGTGGTTGACTGCTTTGTGCCGGTTGTGGCTCCACAAGTCATTGCTCTGAGCAATACTGGGTTAAGCACCTCTCGCTAGTTTCTGAAGTATAGAGTTAAATATCTTGAAAATTACCTTCCCCACTGATAAAAGTTGGGGGAGTTAAGCTTAATGATTGTATTTTACTTGAATTGTCCACTTGCCCAGTAATACAGGAATAAACCCTGTTTATTGTTTGAGAGTATTATGAAAGTCCACGGTGTTTTGTGACGCTGGGCATCAGAGCTTTCAGAAGGAAGATCAGAATGGAGAGTGAGGGCTGTCCTGTTAATAATTCGTGAACGTCGAGGAGAAGATGAAATACAAAAAGCTCATTTTAACAAGGGGAACTGTACTCTGTTGTCTTGTATGAGGGATGAATTTTGCATATATCATGAGATACATATTGTTTATCCAGTGCACACATGATGCTGTGAACTGTGGTTGGTTGTATGGGTACCCTTGATGTTTGTCATTCTTAACTTTCAAGTTTGGTTTTGTGGTCTTGAATAATACCATTTTAACGCTTCAGAACATAAATTTTCTGAAGCTTAGAAAATGCAAACTGCATTATTTCTCTCCACAGAGTTCCTTTTCAGCCTCCACCTGCTCCGAGTCCACCTGTTAGTTGTTAGCATCCCTAAAATTCAACAGCAAACTTTAGTGTCTTTGAACTTGGTGCCCAACTGCCTCAGATATTGTTAAAAAAAAATAATTGGGAGTTTTACTGTTGTCTCCGAGGAAAATAGAACTGCATCTTAAAGGAGAAGAGTGCTTTGGGTTAACCAGTGTTTTCAAGATTCCTTTTCTGCTCTGCAGCGAGAGGTTTTAGGCAGGCAGGCTGTGTGGCCAGCTGAGTCCTCCAAACTTCATATCGGTGCGAGTTCGCCAATTGCGTGACGTTGCAGTTCCTTTTGGAGGCTTCCCTCAACGCGCGTACTCCGCTATGTAGAAGAAGCACTGCTAAAACTAAATCAGAGCAATTAACAGGAAAAAAATGGGCTGTTGCTTCAGAGTGAAGAGGGAACATGAAAGGAAAGGCATGCAACGCAGAATACGGTTTTGTGTTTACTTTCGGTCTGGCTGGCTGCGTGGCCAGCTGGACTGGGAATTTGGCTGGCTGGAAACTGCCCCTTTGCTTGCTGAGTCGGTTTTTAGCCAGTCCCGATTATCTAATCTGATGCACTGCGTGGCTCACCTGCACTTAGAGAGGGGAAAGGGCAGGTAGGGGGAGGAAAGGGCAAGACCTCACCTTTTGAAGGTAACGTGCATTTAGATAAAGTTAAAGCAATTGCCTGTTTGGAACCTAAAATATTAGAGAGGCAACTGGAGTATTGTTGGGAGAGTATTAGCAGCGAAGACCAACACTCAGTTTTTAGTTCCTTTTCTCCTTTTAAGGTGATCTGACTGTAGAAGTGTAACGTAGTGTATTGATCAAATTCTTTGATTCTAAAAATATGTGGTTTTCTTGTGTAATTTTAGGCAAACTATCATGAGTCTGAGGACAAGGCTGTGGATACCGTCAGTACAGAAATCTCATCAAGGTCTTCCAGGGAAGTAGATTCCTTGCAACAGAAGGTTTGTTACAGAACTTCAGAATATTTTCTAGCCTTTTATAGTTTGTGCTTTCTGATGTTGCTTTTCTGGGCAGTATAGACAGGTGAATTGCTGGCATAATTTGTGAGAGACCATGGATTATGTAAGGGGAACCTCTTTACTGAGAGGAGAGACTGGAAGTGGTTTGAACTCAATTCCAAATGGCTGCTCTGCCTGCCAAGGTCTGTTTCCTGAGATGTCTGATAGTGCAGTGGAAGTTGATAGGAGCTACGTGCTTCTGTCCGGTGTCAACAGTTTAAACAGGTGCTGTTGGTGTTACACCATGTTGCCAAAAGCTAAGAAACCTGACCGTTCCTTTTCAAGTTGTTCAATTCTGTTGGATTTTAAGGGGTGGGTTGTGGGCATAGAGGACACATTTGTGGCTGACCGCAGTGTGCAGTGCTGCAGCTCTCAGAAGCTGCTGTGAGCTCCCCACACTGCTTCTTCCTTCAAGATCAGGAGGATGCGGTGATGCTCTCGTGTCTCTCAGCCACTTGGAGACCCAACGGGATATGTAATTTTAACGTTGTTTTAGTTACTTAGTATTTTTTACAATTCTCTCTCTTCTTTTTTTTTTTTTCTGAGGTAAACTTAAAATTTAAGGAGAATTAGATCTTTAGCTTTTTCAAGGTTTACTGCGGTTAGTATCCAAACCATATTATTAGCAGATCTGAAATCTCCAGTACTGGCCAGTCCCGTGGAAAGTATTATCTTCAGCAACTGCATACGCTTTTTATCTGGTGTACTAATCATGGGATTATTGCTAAACTAAAGAAATGTGCCTCTGTTAATCCTGAGTTTAATGCGTTGGTACGTTGTTTCTTTTTTTCCTGCAAACAAGCTGGTTTGAGCACGAAGTGAATAAAATGTCTTTGCATTGCAGATTGCAGAATGTGAGAAGAGGAATGCCAAATCACGTGAAAGCCGTAGCTTTTATATTTTTAAGCGATACTTGAATAAGATTTTAAATGAAGCTGGAAAACTTGGCCTTGTAAGTATGTGAACACGCATTAAAAATTAATTACAATGCATATGTGTTTTTCACAGTTATCAAGTATTGATTAATTTTGGCTTACTTCAAATTAAAATGAGGGGAGAAGTGATAGAAGTACGTACATCCAGTATTGCTGTTAGTTAGCAGTGTTTGCTCAGGAGAGACAGTTGCTGTTTGAACTGTGAAGCATCCAAAGGAAGACTAAGTGAATTCAGAGTATGTATCCGAATATGTGTTGCTGGAATGCAGCTATAATAATACCCTGTTCAGGTCATGTAAATGGTTGGTAAACTTGAAAGAGCCAGATTTTGTTTGTTCATTTGTTGTAGGCCTTTTAGGCCTTTGTTCAAGACTCTACCACATGAATAAGCTATCATAAAGAATAGTAGCTTACTAGACTTTGCATAGAAGAATCACCTTATTACTTTCTTTATTGTATTGTCTTTGGAGATACATTTTTTTCTGTTCAGAGGTAGAGGGATAAAACCAAACAATGTTATACTTAGCAATATAAAGTTTCTTATTTCATTATTTAATAGCTTCTCTATTACCCAGCCATGATCGAGGTACACATAACGCGTTCGTAATTAATACTTGTTAGTGAGAAGTGGTTCTAAAATTTTAGTAACAGGTGAGATAACCCACTTCATTTTTTAGGTGTTTGTTGTAGAATTGAAAGAGTACAAACCAGTTGAATTCATGTTTTATATCGTTTAGAAGAATGAGGAAAAAGCTTATAAAACCATAGCGTGCTCCCTGTCCTGTGTCTTCATCCTTCAGTCGGTTTCACAAAGGTGCTGCTATGTAATGAGGGTATATAACAGGTGTTTGCACAGGGACACAGTTTTTCTTATGTACTTCTATTTCCAAATAAGCAGCTTTTAACCATTGTTTTGCTTTGCTTTTAATTCAGCCTGAGGAAAATGTGGACCGCGTCCATTACGATGCTGAGATCATCCTTACAAAACAGACATATTTGGAGATCCTCAGGTTTCTCAATGAGGAAACTTGGCAGTCAGGTGCTGTGGATGATGCACTTAGTGATATTTTGATCAATTTTAAGCACCATGATTATGAAGCTTGGCACTGGAGATTTGAAGACACCTTTGGAATTGATCTATATAATATGTTTCTGGTAAGCAAAGAAGAAAGGGTTTTTTTTGTTGTTTAATTGCTGTTTTCTCCAGTTTCTTTGTGCGAGTCTAGCCAAGGAATATTACCATCTTAATTCTGCACGTAAAGCAGTTCTTTCTATCGTACTTACAGTGAGTCACTCTTTGTTTCATGGTTGCTGAAGGTAGAGGCCAATCTTACTACAAGTAAGAATTGAAGTTTTTTATTCCTGTGGTCCGTTTTTCTTACTGTAGCTTTGCATGTTTTTCTGCTATGCTTTCTTTTTCTCTTCTTGTATTTTATGTCTGTGCTGCGTGACTCATTAGACTCTAGTACTTTCTCATCACTTAAACTGACAACTCGTGCATTAGAAATTTTCCAGCTTTGTTTCTTGTTGGAACCTGTTTATATTGAGACAGGTGTG